GTGGGGTTCTTCCGAAGTCTTGGATAATCCTGTCTAAAACCCTCTGAGAAGGCTGAGTTTGGAAACAGCTCTTTTTCTAGTTCTAGCATTAGGCTGCTTGTTTCTGGCTGACTCCTTCAAGCTGTAGCATCTCCCACGGAAGCTTTATGAAGTGCATTTGCTCTGAGAGCATGCTGGGCTGTCTCACCTACATGACCCCTGCACAGCATCCCCCTGACTCCAGAAGGGTGTCTGCACCAGGCAGCAAAGCAGTGCCCATAGCAAACTGGGATTTGGATGCAGGTGTAGGGAAGAGGATCAGGATGGAGTCAGCGGTGATTTCAACAGGACTGAATTCAAGGCATGTGGCAAGAACTGCTGATTTCAATATAGCAATGCTGTGTAGATGTCTGGTTTGGGATGCAGCCAGTCTGCACCATCAATGGTTCCAGTTTGCCCAGTGCTACAAGTGGAATTACTCCACTTCGTGGGTGAAAACTGCCCTCATTCCCTCTTCTGCAATGCTTAGTGCTTCAAAGGAGTGTGAGATGGATTGGACTGTGGGAAGAAGGACCAAGCAGCGAGGGGGTGATGTCAGACAAGTGCTGGTATGTACTAGTGGTGTGATGGGTTGCAAGGTAGTACTGGGTGTGGGAAGGGTTGTGAGCTGTACAAAGGGGCCACATGGTGGGAACTGGGATGTGTGAAGGGCTGTAAGGTGGTGCTCAGGGGCTGGAGACAAGGCAGTGACTGCAGGCGGGTGAGACAGAGGCAAGCAGCACACAAAGGATGCACAGAGCATCAGCAGGGCTGTGGGGCGATGCATGATATCAGGACCAAGAGTCTGCCTGACACAAACAGCCCCAAAACACCCCTCCAAGACCACAGACCAAGGTGGTGAGAGACCCTGAGCTGACCTGGGACTGCAGAGAAAGGGGAGAGTACAGCCTTGCAGAAATACAAGGCTTGGCACAATGAGGCAGATGCCTCTTTTTAAGACATGACTGTGAATAACACTCTGCTGTTTCAGTGTCTGTGTCATGTGGGAGCTGAGATTGGTGGCATCATGCTGAAACTGGATTGAAAGGAGCTGGGATTTTCTGTGCTAGCTTCTCCTGCAACCTGGAGGCCTCCAGGACTGGTGCCTGTCTCTGGCTGTCACAGTGGCTATGATACGCTTACTCCTCTCTCTATCTCTTCCCAGCACTGCCAAAGGGAGGTACCTGGCTGCTCTTCTGGTGGTTGCTGATGCTGAGCTTCATTGCAGGGTCAGAGAAGGGGGCAATTGGTACCATCAGTCCCACATGGCACCCTCTCAACCGTGCCCTCACCCTGCCCAAACCTCCCAGGCTGAGGATGGAGCAGAGCCTCACAGCAGCAGCCCTCGGTGGTCCCACCAGGGCCACCTGCAGAGCGCTAGTCCCAGACGGTGACTTCAGCATGAGAAGAGCGGCTCGTTCCCAGATAGCGCATCCTCGACAGGTTCATCCATCATCTCCCGAGCTCTGCCAGCTTATTAACAGATGTTGTCCTGTCCCCAGAGGACGGGGAGGGAGGGAAGCAAATGGACTGAAGTACAGATGGCTGGCAGAGCCCTCCCCGTGCTCGCAGCTTCAGGCTGCCTTGGGCAGGCAATGCAGGGGGGAGTGAGCCTGTTAGGCTGGTAAAAACAGGCAAGATGTGCTGCACAGGGTGGAGGGATCAGTGGTATTGATAACTGAGGACCCACTTAGGTGACAGAGAGCTGGAGGTGTGCTCTGCCAAGCACAGGTTTGTGCTGGGTTTTGTAGGTTCTGCCTGTGACACTGGGACCAGCAGGGTGGATGTGCCAGTCTTGAGCTGGGCTGCAAGCGGAGGTCGCTGCTGTCCCGTGTGCACTGTGAAAGCACATCGTGAGATGAAACTGCGAGGACAGACAGAGCCTTGGCTGGGTTTTACAGGAAGGTGGCACTGGGGACAGAAGGAAGATGCTGGTAGCAGGACTTCTGGTGGTCCGCAAAGCGGCAGGGCCCTTAGGCACAGATTTAGGGTATAAATCGCATGAAATAATTAAAAATGAGAAATCTCCACCTTCTGCAGGGCTCCTGGGAGGGCAGGCGGGACGAGCTGGGTGCAGTGCAGACGGCAGGACAACCCTTCCGTAGTGGCTTCAGGTTTTGGTGGTTTCAGTGCGTGCTGCAACCGTAACTGTGGAGCACTGTGATTTTAGACATGGGGTGTTTGAATTTGTCTCACTGGCCACTTCTCTGCTGGTTTGCTTTTATCGGAGCTAAGCCAGGAGGTCCTGGTTTTCCACATGGCACTGGCCTGGCGTGAGAGAGCTCAATCCAGAGCAGGACATTCCTGTCACCCTGTAGGGATTTCATATCTTGTGCAGGTTCCAAGCTGGTGCCCTCTCCTGTGCTTATGAAGGGCTTAGCACGTGTGTCCTGCTCCCATCCAAAGCGAGCATTGAGGCACACATTGGTGCATGACCCCATCCAGAGCAGTGCCTGCCCCAGCCCCAGTTGCTCTCGAGGCCTCCCCATGTTCTCATGCTGTCCAGGCTCCCAACGGCTCTGCCCTGGTGCACGAATTCACCTGTAATTTGTCATTTAGGATCATTTTCCCCTTGAGTGAATCCAAAATAATTGTGAATCATTGCTACGGGTAATTAACAGGGTTTATTTTTACAGCATTGAATGCTAAGTGATTACAACTGCTTGGTACAGATCTGCTTTACAACTGCTTGTTACAAATCCGCTGTGCTTCATGTTCTCATCCTTCCCCCGTCTCTCCATACTTGATGTAGCACTGATTTCTCTGCCCTTAATTAACTATTTGGGAGGGGGGAATTGAATCAAGAGTCTCTGGTTGCTGGTTGCTGCATGGGTAGAGATGACAAGGGTTTGCAGGACCAAGGAGGATTCACACAGGTTGAAGGCAACGAATCCTGACATTTACACTGCCAAGCATGGGCAGTGGGGCTGTGTCATCACAGGCAAGGAGTCCCTGGCCCTGTCAGTGTGTGGCATCAGGAGAACCAGTCAGCACCAGAGCGTGGCAAATGTCTTGGGCTGTCCTTGGTGCAGTGGCTGGGGACCGCAAAGCTCCTCTCCAGGTCTGCCTGCCCTGTGTCCTCTGCTCTTCTGATGGATGCTCCTGGGGAGATGAAACGTGTCAGGAAGGCCGGGGAGCAAAGTCAGCCCTGAGCTGCATCGATTTCCCCCCTAAGTCACATCTGCCTTCCCTTGCATCCCCAGTTTGGGCATTTCTGTTCCTTGCCGTTAAGCCCTTTAGGAAACGGAGGAGCAGGAATTTAGGAGCAAACTCTGCAATGGCTGGGCTTCGCTTTTCCAGCCTGCTGTACCAAGACATGACACCAACCTGTGACACCAACATCTCTGGCACATGCAGCGTGTGTACATCCTGCTGCTGCTCTTGCTCCCCTATCTATAAGGTAGCATTCAGTGCCCAGTGCCACAGAAACTGATGACAGTAACGAGAGACCAGCAAGGCACCAGGGATGCATGTGGATGAAGCTCAGCCTTCAGCTGCTATAGCTCGAAGTAGCTCAGTTATAGAGTCTGCTGTATGACTGTGCAGCGTGTGATCTGTGAAATATGCTGATAGCACAGGGAGATCTGTGGCAGGGGAAGGAGTGTTGTTAATAAGAAAACAAATCAGCACCTAGAAGCAGAACAAACAGACAGCACGGAGGGGCCAAGACCACCAAGGATGCTGGATCACAAACAAAACCCTTCTACATGTTTGGAAGCAAAAATTGAGGCTGAATGCAGAGTTGGCGACGGGGGCTGAAGGTATTACCACCTCGGGAGGGAAAACTGAGATGAGTCAGAGCCAGGAATAGCGCTTGAGTCACTGGAACTGGTCCTAGAAATGCTTGATGAAAACAGGGACCCAGGCAGAGCCTGGTTTTTCTTTACTTGGAATGGAAATGTGCGGAAGAGGGCAGATCCTTCCACGCCTAGGCAGGCACTTGACGCGCCGCATGTCACTATGGAACTAATCGATTTTCCTAACGAGAGACGAGCTGTTTGTTTGTGTGACAAATGATTCACCCGGGGGGGCTGCTGTGAGAGCTGGGGTTGGGATGGAGCAGGCTGATGCCATCGCGGGTGTGGGATGAGCGTGTGCTCCTGCCTCGCAGCCCCAGCCCCAGCATGAGGCAGAGCCACCGGAGACGGGAGGTGTTGTCAGAAGAAACTCAGCCTGGCTCGCTTGGCTTTGCTGTCCCTCCACAGACCTCAGTGTGCGCTGAGAGCTTGCTGCAAGGTGAAACAAAAGAGGGCGTTTTCCCTTTGTTTTGTGCAAGGAAGACATTTGTCCAGAGGAGATGCGGCTGCCCCATCCCTGGCAGTGCTCAAGGCCAGGTTGGACACAGGGTCTTGGAGCAAGGGCTCGGTGTCCCTGCCTCTGGAATGGGATGAGCTGTAAGGTCCCTTCAACCCAAACCAGGCTGGGAGTCTATGAAGGAAACTTACTGCTCTGTGTAGCAGCGCACCAGGGTCAGAGGACAAGACCCACCATGTCCCAGGAGTGGAGCTTTCACTTCATGAAACCCTTGCCATGGATGCTGCTGGGCACACCCAGAACAAGCAGTGGGGCAGCTCCAGTTAAGGAACACTGCACCGCACAGATTATGGCTCGTATAATAGCGAGGTGATTTCCAGTGCTGCCTGGTTTGTTCTTTGCAGCGCTCCCTGTCCCGAGGCCAGGCAATGGCCCTGAGCTGCATCAGGGAGGGTTCTGGGCAGCAGGCAGGAGGGAAGCACCTCCAGCTTTACAGGCAGGTCAACCAAAGCAAAGACACCCAGGTCTGCCTGTGAAACAGTGGGGAACCGGTACCAGGATGGCAGTAGCACAGCCTGGGAGAGAGACAAGAGCAGTCTTCACAGGGCTGGTTTCCCATGCACTGGATGGGGGTGAGAGCCCGGTCCAGGTTCGTGCTGCTGGGATGTGCTGAGCTGGGGGATGCTCCTCGTGCAGGCGCATCCCCCTGACCCTTCCCTCCTCCGCAGCCTGCCAGCTGGGCTTCTACAAGTCATCCCCCGGGGACCAGCTCTGTGCCAAGTGCCCCTTGCACAGCCACTCGGAGAGCCGGGCCGCCCGCGTGTGCCGCTGCGACAGCAGCTTCTACCGGGCCCTGCAGGACCCCCCCTCGGCTGCCTGCACACGTGAGTACCCCAACATGAACCATCCATGGGCAGGCGCAGACCCTGCAGATGATGCCCCCCTGCCCCTGTGCGTGCCGCACAAGGCACTGTGGCAGCCGTTCAGCACTGGGTCTCCCCTTGACACGTGAGCTGAGCCCCCCTTTGCTACACTCCCTCAATGCCCTGTGTCTCATCCTCATCCTGCTGCTCTCCAGACACCCCTGCTCCTTTCCCAAGGGTCTCCCCTGTGATGGAGTAGGGTGAGACCATGGCTCCTCCAGCAAGCTGGCCCTGCTCACACACCAGCCACTTGCTGGCTGCTCTCCTTTGCACAAATGGTGAGGGCGATCAGACCCAAAGGACAGCACAATTGTTGCTGTGCTCTCCTGGACACTGGCACTAAGGTGTGTTGTATGGTTTCAGCTCAAGTCTCTGCAATGGGCTCCTTTAAGGGGTTCAGTACTGTTAAAAGGGAACAAGAATATCCCAGGAGCCCTCCTCCTCTCTGTAGCTGGTCCAGGGGGGAAGAAGGGTGGATGGCTACTAGCTGATGCCAGGGTGAAAGACATGTCAGTGACATCTGACTTGTGTTTCCCTAGGGAATACCCGCCCAAGGTTGTTAAACTCCCCAGGAAATACCAGTTTACCCTTCCCTTTAGATGAGCAGGTCCTGTTCTCCACTGTTCAGCCCATCCACACCTTGGCTCTTCCCCCAAAAGACTTTATGCATCCCCACTGCTTCCTGCTTCCCCCCAAACAAACAGCTCTTTCCTGCCGGGCATTTGGCATCATGATCCAGAGCATCTCACTTCCATGGCACTTTAACCTGAGACCTGTCTGTGGAGCATTCCCCACTCTGGGCAGCACTCCCCTGCAGCATCATTTGGTCCAAATGCCAGCACCTTTGCAACGTGCCCACGACAGCAGCATCACGCCCAAGGCGCATCCCTCCATTGGTCCCATGCTTTGCAGCCCCCACTCAGCCTGAACCTCCGCTTCTTCCCCAGGCCCCCCCTCTGCTCCCGTGAACCTGATCTCCAGCGTCAACGGCACCTCGGTGACACTGGAGTGGGGGCCCCCCCTGGACAAGGGGGGCCGCGCTGACATCGTGTACAACGTGGTCTGCAGGCGCTGCGCGGGCCATGCCGGGCAGTGCGAGGCGTGCGGCAGCGGGATCCGCTTCGTGCCCCAGCAGATGAGCCTGGTGAAGGGCGCGCTGACCGTGACCAACCTCCTGGCCCACACCAACTACTCCTTTTGGGTGGAGGCCGTCAACGGCGTCTCTGACCTCAGCCTGGAGTCCAGGAGAGCTGCAGTTGCCAACATCACGACAAACCAGGCAGGTAGGAGGAGCAGAGGCTTCGCCTCCACCTTTGTGGGTGATGCTGATGATGTTGCTCTGATGCTGCTCCCACCAGTATCAGCCAAGGGCTGGTTCGGTGATGGGCAAGGGACACCCTGGAGATGAGGGTCCTATCCTCTCTGCTGTAGGAGGTGGATTCAGGGAGCCAGGATGGGCTGGAGACAAGCTGCTGCCCAAGGCAGCAGTGGTTCTCTGCTTCACAGGATCCCTTTTCATCCTCCTTTCCCTCCGCTTCAGCCTGCGGCTGCTGGTAGAGGCTCCTTTTCTGCAGGAGACAGGGGGCACGGAGAACACTTGTTTGTTGACAGGAACATTAAGTGGAGCATGAATCTTTCAGGCTGTTCCTCCAGCCTTCTGTCCCTTCCCAAAGGGCCAAGCAGCAGTTCATGCTCTGCTCTTAGCTCACACCAGCGCCAGGCCCTGGCAGGTGACAGCGGCTGGGGAAAGTCTCTCTCATGCCTGTCTCATCTTTGCAAAGCCCTTGATTTGAATTGCTTTTTCCCCAGGAAATCATAGAATAGTTTGAGGTGGAAGGCACATTCCGAGGTCTTCAAAGAAGAGAGAGAGGCTCGTTGTAATAGAATGAGGGGTGTTGGTTTTAGACTGAAAAAGAGAGATTCAGGTTGGATGTGGGGAAGAAATTCTTTACAGTGAGGGTGGTAAAAAACGGGCACAGGATGCCCAGAGAGGTGATGATGCTCCATCCCTGCAGACATTTGAGGCCAGGGTGGATGTGTTTCTGGACAACCTGATCTAGATGTCCCTGTCGTTGCAGGGGGGTTGGAACTAGATGAGCTTTGAAGGTCCCTTCCCATCCAAACCATTCTATGGTTCTATGGTTCTATGATTTCAGCCTCTCTGCTGGGAAGTGGATGCTGAGCAGACACTGCAAAAGCAGCGGGGTTGGGAATTTGGTAGTGATTGAAGTTGAGGTTTGTGCCTGCTCCAGCTCCACACCACAGAGCATCCTGCCCACCTTGAGGGGGTGAGGGACCCAGCCATGCTGCATGGGGCGCCCTGCCCATGCTGGTGCTGAGCACCCTTGTCACCCAGCCCCTGAGCAGGACAGGAGCGGGTGCAGCAGTGATGCTCTGGGGCAGATTCCCATCATCCCACCCTGTCCCAGCTCCCTGGGGTCTTGTGTCCCAGCAGTGATTTCTGCTCTTCACAGGAGGCAGCCCAAAGGGCTACAGCTGCTGCCTTTCAGTCCCTGAGTACCCCACTGCAGACCCTGTGGCCTCTTTTGGTCTTTTGGTGGTCTTGGCAGCCCTGGGGTGACGTTGGACTTGATGATCTTAAAGGTCTTTTCCAATCTGCTTGATTCTGCAATTTATGATTCTATGGCTTTAATTAAAACAGAAATATGGCTTAAACCAGGAGTCCTGCATGGGGCTCCTGCAGTTGTGTCTGGCCACCCCCACCATGCCCAGCCAGTAGGCACCTAACACCCTGCCATCTGCATCCCCAGCCCCATCCCAGGTCATGGTGGTCCACCAGGAGAGCACAGGCCAGAACAGCGTCACCCTGCTGTGGCAAGAGCCAGACCAGCCCAACGGCATCATCCTGGAGTATGAGATCAAGTACTATGAGAAGGTAACGCAGAACTTGCTGCCACAAACCGGTTCCATCACGGTTCAGACAGGGGCTTGGTTTAAATCCTGATAACAATTGCTGCTGTCAGCCAGCCTTGCGCGAAGGACTGTCTTGGAAGGCTTTGTGGTTGCTGTGTTGATGCAGTAAGGTTTTGGGGGGTTGTTTTTCACCAGGACAAGGAAATGCAGAGCTACTCGACTCTGAAATCCAAGGGTACCTCTGCCACCATCTCTGGGCTCAAGCCTGCAACCCGCTACATCTTCCAGGTCCGGGCTCGCACGTCCGCGGGCTGCAGGAGGTTCAGTCAGACCGTGGAGGTGGAGACGGGGAAGCCAGGTGAGCGACTGCGCTTGTGGGGTGTGGGAAGTGTGGGGCAGGGAGCTTGGGGAACGGCGATGACCTTCTCCGTGGCCACTGCGCCTCTGCCGCATAGGGAGGAAGGCAGGAGGCACATCTGGGGTTGGAGCTTGCAGGGCTCGCTTGAGGTTGCCCTGCTGAGATGTGCTTATATATAAGAAAGAAGGACATAGCAATTAAGGCAAGGAAGACATGGTGAGGTCCTGAGGCTCCAGACCCCACTCTGTGCTGGTTTGCTGTATCACCATGGCTTCCCCACGTCTATGCTTGGTTTTCCCATGTGTAAATGGTCCCTGTACACTGGGACAGCCCCAAAGCTGGGGTTGCATGGATGATGAAGACTAGAACCCCGTTGGGTTAAGTAGGTTCCTGAGCCCAGTAGAGTCTTCACACTCTAGCTCACCTCCTTCCCACCCTGCTTCTTCCAGTTTCTCTCCGGTACGACACAATGACAATTGTCTGGATCTGCCTCACGCTCATCACTGGCCTTGTCGCATTGCTGGTGGTCTTAATCTGCAAGAAGAGGTAAGTGTTTCCTGGAGGTCAGTGTGGCTTGTCACCAAGCAGGGCTGGAGCTGTGGGGGATCTTGAGCACAGCTTTTCTCTTCTCAACTTGTCCAGAGCATCCATAGCTCAGGAGTTAATAAGCAACCAAGAGACTTCATTTAGGGGTCACCCTGCCTCCATGTTCCCTGAGGCAGAGCCAGTCTCCAGACCTTCCCCTCATTGGCAATCCTGGGATAAAGATCTTTTCCAACCTGGTTGATTCTATGATTCCATGTCAGCAGACTGAGTAGCAGTAGTGACAGCAATAACCACAGCAATAGCAGAACCAGCACCACTGCCAGTACGAGGGCTGACTGGATGGGCTTAGGGTAGATCCTCCCAGGCTGCCTACAGCCCTGGCCCACACTGCCTTCCACCCTGCCTTTGGGCTGCTGGTGGGAGCAAGGGACAAGAGCACCTCTTCTGACCTGTGTGTCCCCATGGCAGGCACTGCGGGTACAGCAAGGCTTTCCAGGACTCCGATGAGGAGAAGATGCATTATCAGAATGGGCAAGGTAGGACCCTCCCCGCTGCTGCCTCTGGGGTGTGAAGGACCCTGTGGATGGGCAGGGGTCTGGACCATACCCCCTGGAACTGCTGTGGTTCCCAGGGGGAAGGGTTTTGACCACTGACTGCTTCTGGGCATGTGTCTAAGAGAGCTAAACAGGGGCTCTGATCCCAGGGACACCCTGGTGATGGGGTTTGAGGGGTTGCACAGCGTGAGATGGGACTGTGGTGGCTCATCCCAAATAGCAGCAGGCCAGAAGAGTGGTGGCTTGATGGAGGGGGACAATCACATTGAGGAGACCTGGGCAGCTGGGTTCTGCACTGCTCTGAGGACACTGCTGTGCCAAAGAGTGCCTTAAGTTCCCTTGTGGCTGCAACCTCTGTGGCTCCTCAGCATGTCAACCCTTGCACATCCCCTACCCAGCTTCTGGGTGCCCCCACTTCTTAGCAGAGCTGCCTGAAAGAGCTTATCTCCTTTCTCCCCTTTGAAACCTGGCAGTGAAGTTCCCCGAGTCCAAGTTCTATGTGGACCCTCACATGTATGAGGACCCCTGCCAAGCTGTGCATGAGCTCACCCGTGAAATTGAGGCCTCCCGGATCAAGATCGAGAAGGTCATTGGGTCTGGTGAGTCCCTGGGCCAGGCTGCCTCTTAGCATCACATCTGATGAGGGAAATTCAGCCTGAGGTTGCGCTGGGACCACAGCAGCTGCACAGCACCAGCACGATGCTCACCCAGGGCTTCATCTGCTCCATATCCTGTTAGAGACCAAAATCAGGGGGAGAGTGGGAGCTTTTCTGATGCATGAAATAAGCTCCTTGGAGGCAGCCCAGTGCAGGAGGCTGCTGGTGTGGCACCGACAGCTCAGGCTGACACAGCAGATGGCTCAGCCTGTCTTGTGTGGGTGCTTCAACGTGGCCACCCTGCTTTGAAACCTCGGAGCAAGCATCTACAGTGACAAAATGCAAATGAAATCGTAGCAAAATGGCACGTTTTCAACACAGAAAGGGGTTTTGTTTTGCAGGGAAGCACAGGGCAGCGATGGCAATGGAGCTTCAGCAGCAGCTTACCCCAAAACAGCATTGGGAAGCCTGGCTGAAAGACATCCTGCTGCTCTAAGAGATATCCAAATTTGTTCATGAAAAGCAGTAAAGCAAGTGCCACTGTAATCACTATTACTGGCCCATCACTTTCAGCGTAAGGCATCAGAGGGAGGTGGTATCTGAGATTCCTGCCTGGTTGCCAGAGGTGGCACTGGTTGCTGGAGATGGGAAATCCTCCCTGTGCTCAGAGGCAGCGATGCACAAAGAGCCCGGGAGTCCCGAGGGGATTGATCACAGCAGACAGGGTGATCCATGGTGCTGGTGGGTCACTGCAACACGCTCAGGAGCTTCCCATGCCCTTCCCTTGCCTTGCAGGGGAGTCTGGAGAGGTGTGCTATGGCCGCCTGAAGCTGCCAGGGAAGAGGGAGATTCCTGTGGCCATCAAGGCGCTGAAAGCTGGCTACACGGAGAAGCAGAGACGGGACTTCCTGAGCGAGGCCAGCATCATGGCACAGTTTGACCACCCCAACGTCATCCACCTGGAGGGGGTGGTGACCAGGAGTATGTTGCTGGTGGGGACGGGATGCTGGTGGGCAGAACTGGGATGGATCTCCCTCTGGGCACCCTGGGAGATGGGGGTCAGGGCTCACTTTGGGTGTATTCATTCCTCTGGCTGCCCCAGATGCCCACTTCTCAGATATCCATTTACCGGGGTCCCTTCCATCGCACCCCCTTGCCTTCTCTTTCAGGACAGACTTCCTATGTGGCAGTTCTTCACCTTGCTCTGCAGCGGCCCCAGGTCAGGGTTATTGGTTTAGGAGATGTTCTGCCCATTAGTGTTTACTTTAAAGGCTGCCTCTGTTGCATCATAATTTGAAGTCTTCCTTCAAAAAGCACATTCTGATGCAAAGCGTTATGCTAATGGCATGTAGATTTCAGCAGGATAAGGAAGCTGACCTAGACACATCAATAGCACCAGGAGGGAGGGGTAAGTGTCTGGGTTACAGCCACATCCCCAGTGCTGTGCCAGTTCTGTGTGGTGCAGGGGTGAGACCGCTCTGCGGGATGCAGGAGGATGGATTCACGTCTCTTCCAGTAAAAGCCTGGCACTGGGCTTCCCAGAGGAAGGTGACTTCTCTGCTAACTTGACCTCCCTTGTCTTCTGCAGGCAAATTGGTAATGATTGTTACAGAGTACATGGAGAATGGCTCGCTAGACACCTTCCTCAGGGTAAGGAGCTCTTCTGTATTTTCATTCATTGCACATCCCCCTGGGCTGAGTGACTGGAGGAAGCTGGCTCCTGCTCCTCAGCCTCATGGCCACTGCAACCCCTGCAAGAGAGGGGTGTGCTCTGGGCTCTCACCTCTACAACAGACATCAGCACCAGGGCATTGTGCCCAGCTCCATGGGGAAAGGCAGGGACACCAGCCTGAGCTGCATGTCAGAGGTGCTGGGAGGGCAGGAAGCAGGCCCTGGGACATGACAGAGGCACTGGGGCTAGAAGAGGTACTAAGTCAAATACAAGAGGTCCTAGGGGGTTAGTGTAATGAAAGCAGCATCAATAGGATGCTGGCAGAACCCACGGATTAACTCTGGGATATTTCCTTTCCAGAAACACGATGGGCAGTTCACCATCATCCAGCTGGTGGGCATGCTGCGTGGCATCGGAGCGGGCATGAGGTACCTGTCTGACCTGGGCTACGTGCACCGGGACCTGGCTGCCCGCAACATCCTGGTGAACAGCAACCTGGTCTGCAAAGTGTCTGACTTTGGGCTCTCTCGCATCCTGGAGGATGACCCCGATGCTGCCTACACCACCACGGTGCGTGGCTCCTAGAGCTGCAATGTCTTACTGAGCCTTACCAGTGGTCATCGCCCAGGCCACTGACAGATGGAGAAGTCGGATGCTCTCAAGTGAAGATAGGCAGGGTAGGACTGGAGGCAGTCACCTCACTGCCGGTATCTGGACCAAGAACATGAACCCAAAGAGCTTTTGAGTATTTTCCTTCATACAGGGACATCCCAGAACTGAGGTGTGCAGTGAACAGAGCAGGGAGATGATCAAACCTTTCCAAATGAACAGCTCCTGTGGGTGCACATGGCTCATTGCACAGGGATAGTCCCATGTCCCTGCTGGAGTCTTTCCATCCACTGTAGCTCCATCCACTTCCTCAGTTGTTCCAGAGCCATGGGTCAGTGGGTGTTATGGTAGACTCAGCAGCAGCGTGGCCACACAATAGTTTTTCCATGTGACTCTGCCTTATTCAGGGGTGTGGAAAGGGTGGGAATTGGCTTTGCAGCCCAGGTAATTTTGGTTTGATGAAGACACTTCTGTCTGTGAAGCCATTTTAAGACTTTTCTGGCCAACCTGACAGCTCTGGAGTTTAATGTGCTGCTCCACTGGAGGTCACCAGAGGTGAAATAAAGTATATTGAGGGAATGTGCTCTTTTAGTTCTTCTCTGGCCATGAAAAGAGGAATTAGTGTGCTCCCCAGGCACACCTCTGGCTGGGAAAATGTGGATAGACAGCTCCTGATGGAGGCCAGGTTGGAGCTGCAGCTGAGGAGTCTGAGCATCCTTTTTCAGAAGGACGAAGACTAAAGAAGCAGAAAGAGCTTCAAGTTGCTTTGGGTTAGCTGATGGCAATGCCCAAAGCAGTTGCAGCTCTGAGGGATGAGTGCACAGTGGCCTATCCCGGAAACCATGGCCTTCATGCTTTTCACTTGGCTTCAGCCAAGAGAAGAATTGAGCCGGAATGTGTCCTCTGTGTGTCTTTGTATTTAGCTGCTCCCTTTGGTATCTCAGAAGCAGATACTTTTTGTGACACTGCAGATCCTTTAATTCTGGGGAAAGCTCCTGCTGCTTGGTTCAAGTACAGCATCCTCTGCATCTTGGTGTTGGGACTCCCAGAGGAAGGGTCAGAAGAGGCACAAGATCAGCTAGGGCTCCCCGGTGTCAGAGCAGCCCCCGCGCTCTGTGGCATGCAGACACACACAGCCTGGCCTCCCCCCCATTAAGCCGGTCTTTGACCTTTTCCTCCACTGTTCCTCCCATTTTCAGGGGGGGAAGATCCCCATTCGCTGGACGGCTCCGGAGGCCATCGCATTCCGCAAGTTCTCCTCGGCCAGCGACGTGTGGAGCTACGGCATCGTCATGTGGGAGGTGCTGGCCTACGGCGAGCGCCCGTACTGGAACATGACCAACCGGGATGTGAGTGCACGGGGGGCATGGGGCAGCACGGTGCAGCCCTTGCGTCTCCCCCGGCTCCCTCCCAGGGAGGGATGGGGAAAAGGGACCCAAAGAGCAGCCCTTGCCTCTCCCCACCTCCCCATGGGGCTGCGCACACTGTGCTTATCCCCTCAGTGGGGACATCAGTGTGATGCCCGTCACTGCACTGCACTGATTTCCCTTTGCAGCACCACAGCTCCTAGCTGTGCTTGGTTGTGTGCACTGTGGGTCTCCCCATCCCCATCTGTTGCTCTGTACAAGACTTAGTGCTGCTTGGAGAGCTTCAGCACATGTGCCGCCTTTCCCATTGCCTGGAAGGGGTCAGAGCTTCCCTAGGAGCACTGCAGCCCCCCTGAATTAGTCTGATTGTTCCATTCTGCACCCATTTCTACTGCCCATGTGAGGCTGCTGAGAGCACCAGGCTTGCATCACCTGGCTTTGGGCTTGTCAGAATTATGTGGAGCTGCTCGTACCTCAAGTGGCATAAAAACTATAGGCAAACGTAGGTTGTGTTCCTGATTATAACCTGGGAGAAACAGCTCCAAAAGGAGGTGATAAAATGAGTATTTTGACTACAGAACCACAGAACTTCCTTTTTACTTTCACCTACAGGGACTATAAACCTATTTGCCTTCTCCCTGCTGTGGGAGTCCTGAGAATACCCTCTCCCAAGTGGTTTTAGTGTTTTAGAAAGTGGCCTTGGTGACAACAAGGAATGGATGCAGTGCTTGAATCCCTTCAAAGTGGCCTTGGTGACAACAAGGAATGGATGCAGTGCTTGCATCCGTTCAAAGTGGCCTTGGTGACAACAAGGAATGGATGCAGTGCTTGCATCCCTTCAAAGTGGCCTTGGTGACAACAAGGAATGGATGCAGTGCTTGCATCCCTTCAAAGTGGCCTTGGTGACAACAAGGAATGGGTGCAGTGCTTGCATCCCTTCAAAGTGGCCTTGGTGACAACAAGGAATGGATGCAGTGCTTGAATCCCTTCAAAGTGGCCTTGGTGACAACAAGGAATGGATGCAGTGCTTGCATCCCTTCAAAGTGGCCTTGGTGACAACAAGGAATGGATGCAGTGCTTGCACCCTTCAAGCAGGGTTTCCTCTGAGCGGCAGCAAGCCCAGAATGACTGAATGTGAGTGAGGGTCTCATGGCTTGTCTGCTGGAGGGAAGCTGCAATATTTTAGGCCTATTGGACCCCATAATAAATCCGCTCTCATAGCAGTGATTTCTGTATGTGTTTGGTATCCAGCCTGCTCCCAGCTCTCCAGAGGCTTCTCGTGGCCTGCTGGAAATCCTTTTGTTTAGCACGAATCTTGTGTACACCTCACCCCTGCTTCCCCATCTGATGGTACCAGCAGCTCACACGCCAGGGATCACCCTTGTGTGCCATTATCCAGGCTGCTGGGACTCCCTTAGGGTCCAGCTCCTAACTCCTGCCTTCCTCCCAGGTCATTAACTCGGTGGAGGAAGGCTACCGCCTGCCTGCCCCCATGGGCTGCCCCACGACCCTGCACCAGCTTATGCTGGATTGCTGGCAGAAGGACCGCAGCGAGAGGCCACGCTTCTCCCAGATCGTTGGCATCCTGGACAAGCTGATCCGCAACCCGGACAACTTGAAGTGCACGGCCACCGTGAACCGGTAAGGGCTGCGTGATGGGCTGGTGCTGGGCAGAGCATGTGGGTTGCAGTGAATGAGGGGTGTTTCTGTCCAGCTCTAGCAGCAATGTGTTCCCTTGTGACCACGGTCATGCACAGGGCTCATGGGCACGGATTAGGGTGGGCGCATCACTGCCTTGCTCCGTGGTCTGGGGTAGCGGTGCCCGTAGAGCAGTGATTCCTGCCCTCAGCTTACCTCAGGCTCTTCAAGCTGGACCTCACAGCCTGGCCAGCGAGGACCAGCACCTCCCGGTCTAACCTGTTTTTCTCCTGCTCCCAGGTTCACCCAAACACCCTTTGACAGGGGCCTCCTGGACCTGGCCACCTGCCTGACTGTGGAGGACTGGCTGGACTCCATCCGACTGGGGCACTACCGGGACAACTTTGCCATGGCAGGGTACTCCTCCCTGGGCATGGTGATGCGCATGAACATCGAGTGAGTACCGGAGAACAAACAGCACTGGTTGGGTTGCCCTGCACCTTCCCACTGCCCTCAAACAGTGACCGTCCTGCCTTGGTTTGCTCCATCTAGTCGGTCGTTGATGCCAGAGATATAACCCTAAGGAAAAGGTGTTGGGATCTGGGATGATGTCCAAGGCAGTGCCGACCTTTTGGAGAAGGTCTGGGAGTTGTTCTTGAAAGGGTGCGAACACCAGGTCACCTCTGTGATTTCTCTCCAATGTCATCATAGATTCATTGGTAATTTGGATTGTAAAGTGCCTCATGAGGTCGTACAATCCAGATTATATGATAGATACCAGATTGCTGTCTCCTTGCTCTTCTCACCTTTGTTTCCCTGGCAAAAGGTTTGTCTGGACCAGAGCATGGCTGTGCCATACTGCACAGCTTCTCTGGGATCACTGCAAACAAACAGAGCTGGGGGCACCTCAGAGCTTCTTCAGACCCCAGAGCACTGGACTGGCTCCTTGCTCAGCGCAGCTGGGCAGGGAGGTACCATATAGCACCTTGGTGTGAGTGCAGGGTGACAGCCAAGTGACCAAGGCTGGGTTTAGTGAGGAGAGCTGGGGAAGATGTGTCTGACCCATCCTCCTCTTGCTGTAAGGAGCTGCCACCTGTACAGGGGTCTCCAAGTTTGCTCGTGCTCCAAGCAGTACTGGAAAAGGTAGTGACTATACTTGCTCCTATCCTGGGCTTACGTTCCCTATCCCTTGGTATTAGCATTAGTGCCAGGGCTGACAACAGCCTCTCCTGCCTCTGAGAAGACTTTTTCACTCTCAAAAGGCATGGAGCTGCCAGACGGTTCCTGTGACTCGGGAAGGATGTGACACTGCACACCTCGGTCGAGGTGCAGCAGGTTGAGAAGGAGCCAGTGAAAGGGAAGATGGAGAGGCACAGACAGAGGGTTGTCATGCATTGATTGGGGGCTGTACTTGGGGCCTTTGCTGTGGGATTGAGCTGATACTGATCCTTGTTTCTCATGCACATCAGGGAAGCTCTCCAGTGGGGAAGGCTCATCATCCATCTGTCTTTCTGACTGGGTTATCTGAGGGCATCGCACTAAAACTGAATCCAATTTCAGACCATTGATCTTGTCACCTGCTAGCTTGTCAGGAGTGATCCCTCTCCTGCTCCCCCTGGAGCTGTCACAGCACTCCTGTCAGGAGGATACGGCCAAGGGAATGGCAGCCTTTGTGTCCCTGGGAGGATGCTCATGGACCCTCAGCAGTAGCAGACTTGTGCTAACGGGCAAGTGGAGAGGAGCCAGACGCGAGGTCCTGGGCTGGTCCATGGGGTGCATGCATGGGGAGGAGCAGTGCCTCCGTCCAGGTCCAGCCCTTGGGGTGTCTGACAGTGTCTTTGTTCTCCAGGGACATTCGGAGTCTGGGCATCACCATGATGGGCCACCAGAAGAAGATCTTGAGCAGCATCCAGGCCATGAGATCCCAGCTGCTGAACACAAACGGCCCCAGGAGGCATCTCTGATCACCAGATTTGCAGACCTGCAATGGGCATTCCTTAACACTTACCCTGGCAAAGGGGCAGCAGGGTGGTGAGCAGGAAAAGGGGCACCAGAACAGGACCTGGAACCCCACCAGCATCTCTTCGATTTCAGCATCAGTGGAAATGTGCTTTCCAGATACCTCGATGGTCCTGCTGCCTCCTTCCCCCATCTGAAGGGGGGAGCAGACTTCCAAGCAGGCAAGGGACATGCCATGCCTCTCCCCATCTTCTGCTGTGTCTCTCTGGCACTGGGGGTTCCCACACAACTATGCAGGACAGGGGGTAACCCTTTCAACACAGCAGAACGGCCCCAGCAGATGGAGGGGTATCAGACACAACAGCAATACCAGGAGCAGTGGGACTACGTTTGTCATGGCACCCAGCTCCTTTGGACCTGACAAGTGGGGAATTTCTTGGCTCTCTGAATTGAGGGGGGCTCCACGGGCTGCCACCCAGCAGAGACAGCCCTGCTCCCACTACCTCCCAGTTCCAGCGCACTCCAGCCTGGACCTCCTGAACTGCACCAGCCTGCAGGTGCCTTCATGGTCCACCTCTACCGAGCCCAGGAGGACGGGGAACCTGGTGGCAGCACCAGGAAAAGCAGAGGAAACTTCCCCAGCGTGGGCCAGGGTCTGCTATCTGGAGCTTCAAGAAGCTCCAGGATGCTGCGGGAGGCTCTCCACCTCCTGCCTGCCATGTCAGCTGCAAAGGAGGGTTCTGAGCAACGCTTCCAGATGCAACCCCATGAGGCTGAGGACAGCAGGTCTGGGAAAAGAGGGTCTTCAGCACGACCCAGCTGGTGAGCCTGGTGGCTGGGAGCTTGGACTTCCCTCCCCAGCTCTCCTCTCTTCCACAGGAGCATCTCTTCTGGCCGAGCAGTGGCCTCCAAAGAGCTGGTCTAAGAGGCTGAGCCGGCTGCAGATGCAGATGGGGGGCAGGCTGTGGGCTGAGAAGGTTTCTCTTGGGTGTAAATACAATTTTCTAAGGGTTTGGGAACTGTTTTACTGAAACACGATGTTAAGTACACAAGAATGGTCTCAAAGCACAGAAGCCTCGGTCCCGGGGCTGAACTCACTGCAAAAAATACCTACTGGGAGCACGGCTGGGGAGGGGGGGAGTGCTGGAGGGGACTGACAGTGACTGCCAGGGGCCAGCCTGGCCCACAGCATCGTGTCCTTAGCTCTGGCACAGTGAATCCAGCACCACTCGAATGCAGGTACTGGTAGGACGTGGCCTGAGGTCTGCTCCTCCCGGTGCTGTTTGGGCACAACGGGGTTTGGGGGGGAGGGTTAAAGCCATTTCTCAGCTGCAATAATCCTGGCTAAACTGGCCTTTCTGGGGCTCATTTAGCTTTCCATCCAGGGTGGTTACGTCCTGATGGATTCTCTGACTGTGGCGGGCACTTTACTTCTTCCTATGGAAGCTTTTTGTAATGGGGGACAGATGCAATGTGTTGTTTAATTTGTATTGCACCCTGTGTCCTGCACTCAGACCTTCACACCCACCCTGCAGTCAGCATCATGACAGAGGGTAGTCCATGTCCTGCGGCACAAGATGCTAGGTACTGGCCATGTCCTCTCTGCCCAACATCTGGGACTCCCTGGAGGGTGAGTCCACCATGGGCGAACAGGGGAGAGCAGAGGGGAGGCCAGTGCCACAGGCCTGTAAATTTGGGGTTTGCTGGGCAACCCCAGTGACGTGGCTGCAGGATCTGAGGTTGGGAGCTGCCGGATGCCCCTTTCCAAGGTAGTCCATGAGTCAGATCCTGCAGCCTGGGGTCGTTGGGCTGCTCTGGGCTGCAGGGATGGTGGGGCAGGGTTTGCCTTTTGTGTTCAGAGTGTGCACCTCCTCCTGAACAATAAAATTCCTTCTTCCCATTGGCCATCCCCTTGCCTGTTATTGTCGCTGTGCTGCACAGAGCTGCTCCATCACTTGCAGGGACCTCTGAAGGTCACCTCATCCCACTGGTCCATGTGCATGTTCAGTGCTCAAAGCTGTGCAAGTCCTGCTCAGACCCTCACCCCTCACACAGACAGGGACAGCCACCGTGTCACACCTTGCTCACAGCACACTGCTGGCACTGGGCACAACGGGGCACCCTGGGAATGCTGGGACAGGTCAGTGCTCACCAAGGACCCACATTTGAGTTGTGAATAAAGCCAGTATCAACATTGTGCAAGGTGTACAAAGTTTTCTTACATTTCTCAGACCCAGAGCAAATACTTGATCCATGGATGATGCTGGCGCCTGATTCCTCCCCTCAGGTGTGGGAAGGGATAGGTACACTCAGCTATTACAGCATCACTTTGGTGGTGAGGACCATGCCAGCATCACTTTGATGGTGATGACCATGCCCAGGGAATCACCCCACTCACAACCCTCAGGAATGCAAGGCACTGTTGTGTCATTTTTAACACGTCATTTCTTCCCCTTCTGGAAGCAACTGCCATGGAATTGCATGCCTGGCAAGGCCCAGTCACTGGGGGCTCCTCTCCAGGACACAGAGCTACATGTTCCCAAAGCACTGCCAGCAGTGGGTATCCGGTCCAGCCAGGCTGGGGACAAGGCTGGCACAAGGGGATCTGATGGCTGAAAGGGGAAGCAGCTCAGCAGCAAACCCCTTGTGGAGAGGATTTCAGGGACCTCTCCAAGGAAGGAGCTGGTCAAGAGGCAAACTCTTCCATTCGAGGGGAGGCGATGGGAACTCTGGCTTATGTATGACAGCAAATAAACCCCTTCATGCATCAAAAGAGCCCTCAGGATTTTCACATCTTCTTGAATGTCCCCCAAGAGACTTTAATTGCACTTCCCTGAGTAAAGCAGCTTTTCTTCCCTAATCACACCCAGCATCACCCCGAGCTATCAATAAGTCATCTCCGAAGCATCCCGTTTACAGCTGCCCAGGCCAGATTTGTCTGTGCCGTTAGCAAGCTTGGCTCCGTGAGCTGTGTGCGCCTGGAGGTGGCAGTCTGGACTTGCAGAGCACCCGCAGAGCCCTGCGTGGAGCCACCCGTCTTAGCCCGTGCCGAAGAGATGCGGGTTTGCAAGGGCTCAGATGCACTCTGTGGATGGTGCTAACAGATGGTGAACTCTGCTTCCTATTTACTGATGTGACTCCTGTCTGATCACATACCAGCTTAGTCTGCCAAGAAGGCTGCATTCGCAAAGCACCTTCCCTCTCTGCTTTTAGCACAGTCACTTAGCGTTGTGTCCAAGGAAATTACTCAGGATAACCTGATGTAAGATAGAAACCTGTTGACCTAGACTCCCAGCCACAGATTTTCATTCTGATGATGCTGAAAAAAGGTGAAGCTGTTCCCAGGCACTCGCTGATGTTTTCTGTACCCCCGACTCTTTCGTTCATGTAGATTGATTATTACTCATCCTTTTAAGACTGCTTATCTTCCCCCTCACAAAGTTGTCCTGAAGAGTGGCTCTTGCAGGAAGCGGTGGGGTGGCATTCAGCAGATGCAGTGTCCTTTCCAAACACAGAGAAGGGTGCAAATAAGCTGGGTGCACCAAGAAGGAGAGGTGAGTGTACATGATGCAGACTACGGTGAGCAGTGGTCTTCGTGCCTGGAGCTGAGGGAGTGTGTGGATGTGTTTTGGTGGATCGATGGGGCAACACCTTGGTGCTGCAGGGCATGCTCCAAAGGCACTGGGTGAGCTTAGAGCTCTCAGTGCAGAGATGCAGGAGATGGGGATACAGGAGGTGATGGAGCAGCAGGAGCCTCCCAGCACGGTGCGACTGACCCCATCCTGCATGGACACAAGGCAGGGAGGGATGAAACCCCATTTGATGCTGGGCTGCTCTGAACCTGTTGTCAGAAGACGAGGCTCCTCATTACAGTTGTTGATTGCTTTCACATTCCGAGCTGCCAGCGAAGGGTCAGCAGTTCTTATGAAATTTTCAATTCTCACAGGTTCTGAGTTTACTCTCTGAGCTGGAAGGAGACGATGAATAAAAGATTAAAATTGGAATTCTCCAATAATTTAAGAGCAATGCAACGAGCCTTTACTCCAGGAGCAAGCACGAGCCAAGCACCGCTGCATGCATACCAAAAATGAGCAGCAAACTTCAAACAGGGCTGAAACAAAAGGCTGTGCTCTTTGATGTGACTGCTGCAGTGCGGGGAGGAGCTGGAGATCCCTGGGCTCTGCAGGGTCTCAGGAGTGGAGCAACAGCCTCCTTGACTCCAGATGTTCCACATGGAGTCCTGACGGCTCCATCGATGCTTTTCCGTCTCTGAGCCCTGCTGAGAGGCTCTAGCATTGTACAAAAGCATCTTGGGCAAGTGATGGGGCCCTTCAAGAGAGAATGGAGGGATGGGTGGTAGGAAAAGGAGGGTCACTAGGACAGAGTCGGGTGAACCAGGATGTGGCTGAGAGGCTTGGAAAGAGGAGGAGGAACTGGGATGAGCTGAGAAGCACTGGGGAGTCAAGGTAGGTCTGAGTGGGGCAGGAGCTGAAATAAGAGGCCAGGGCAAGCCTGGTGTGGACAAGGGGTTTTCATAACTAGAGGCAATGGCTTATTGAGTATAAGCTTTGCAAAGGAAAAAAAGCTCTAGCAAAATCTTTGGCTCATCTGCTCAGAGAGATGAAAACAGGATGGGACTTGCTGGTATATGACCACTTCTTGGCCATATAGCATGCAAAAACAAAGCCCCATCCCTTGCCCCTATAGGTATTTGACTTTGTTTCCTGTGTCCTCACTTTTCCAGGCACTTTGATTTGGGTTCACTTCTCCTGCCCCTCTGCTCTGCTCTCATAAGAGCCCTCTTGCAGCACTGTGTGCAGTTCTGGTGTGCTCAGCATAAGAAGGACATGGAGCTGTTGGAGCAAGTCCAGAGGAGGCCATGAGGATGATCAGGGGCTGGAGCACCTCCTGTATGGAGCCAGGCTGAGAAAGTTGGGGCTGTTCAGCCTGGAGAAGAGAAGTCACATGGAGACCTCAGAGCAGCTTCCAGTGTCTGAAAGGGGGCTACAAGGATGCTGGGGAGGGACCCTTCAACAGGAACTGTAGTGACAGGACAAAGGGTAACGGGTTCAAACTGAAACAGGGGAAGTTCAGGTTGGAGATAAGGCAGAAGCTCTTCCCTGTGAGGGTGCTGAGGCACTGGAATGGGTTGCCCAAAGAAGCTGTGAATGCTCCATCCCTGGCAGTGTTCAAGGCCAGGTTGGACAGAGCCTTGGACAACCTGATCTAGTGTGAGGTGTCCCTGCCCATGGCAGGGGTTTGGAACTGGATGAACTTAAGGTCCTTTCCAACCCAAACCATTCTGTGATTCTATGATGCTGGACAGGAGAACCCAGAGGTCCCTTTCACCAGCCCTGCTGGGTCCTGGGAAATTTCCAGGTGCTGAAATACCTCTAAGCAGCACTCCTCATCAATAAGTGCTCTACATAAAGCTCCCAAATGCTATGATACAACTTCCCAAGACATTTCCAAGACTTTCACCTTTTTTTTTTACCAAAGGCTTGGCATTGCAGTCATAGGCAGCATCCCTCCTGTCCTGCATCTCTCCCCCTCTCCTGGAGCAGCAGCGGGCTTCAGCCAAATGTGGCAGAGGTCAGCAGCACAGAGGAGCTCATGTTTGTACAGGCTTTATGGAAATAGATGGCAGCAAGAGGAGTGTGTGATGCAGCAGTGCCCCTGCACACAAGACACTGCCAGCCTCAGTTTCTGCCTACAAGTGTCCATGAAAGAGGGACCTATGGGAGCTCCCTGTAGGCAAAGCTTTGCTTCAAGCTTGCAATGAGCCCTGAGACATTGCCTTAAAGGAAACTGCTCTCAGGATTGCTTGTAGCTCAGGAGCTCTGGGTTTCCACATTTTACCCTTGTCCTCTGCTCTCCTCACAGTGTCTTCAGCTGCTCCCAAAGAGCACCCTAACAGCTTTCCTTCCTCCTGCTGAGGGCAATAGGGCAGGGTGAAGCATCCTTGGTGGTGAGGGGGTCTTGTGGTTCTCATAACCAGGGATTACCCCAGGTTTCACCTCCCTGCCTGTCCTTTAAGCAGGGCAGTGCCCGAGGGGGACATTTGCAATGGGGATGATGCATTGTCTGCAAGAGAGCTCCACACCTCGAATCCTGTGTTCAGCTCTGGGCCCCTCACTGCAGGAGAGACATTGAGGTGCTGAGTGGGGCCAGAGAAGGGAATGGAGCTGGTGCAGGGCCTGGAGCACAAGTGTGATGGGGAAGGGCTGAGGGACCTGGGGGGTTCAGTGTGGAGAAGAGAAGGCTCAGGGGGGACCTGATGGCTCCCTACAACTGCCTGACAGGAGGATGGAGCCAGGAGGGGCTGGGCTCTGCTCCCAAGGAACAAGGGATGGGACAAGAGCAACTGGCCTCAAGCTGCCCCAGGGCAGGTTTAGATGGAGCTGAGGAACAATTCCTGCCCCAGAGGGTGCTCAGGCATTGGAACAGGGCTGGAGTCACCATCCCTGCGAGTGTTCACACACCCTCAGTGCCATGGGGCAGTGGTGGCCTTGGCAGTGCTGGGAGCAGTTGGACTGGGTGAGCTTAAAGGTGTTTTCTAACCTGGCTGATTCCATGGTTCTGTGATTCTAAGAGCAGAGTTGCAGCCTCTTTGAGATTCCCTGCACACACATTCCTGGGAGTCGGGGGGGGGTCTCGAAGCTGGGGGGAGCCTGGGCTTTTGTTTTCTCTCTATGGAGTGCCTGTCAGAGCTGCCCACCTCTGGGAGGGCAGGATGGACAGATGGACGTGGCTGGGCTGAGCAATGCTCGCGGAGGGCTGGTGGGAGCTCCCCGTGCTTTGACAAGCCCTCCAGCATCCGCGCTGACAGCCGCAGTCACTCTCTGCCCTCACAAAGCAGCGCCTTCGGTTTGATCCTCTCCTAGGACTGCTCCCACCACGGACAAAA